TTTATTGGTGTGGTCAAGAAGTGGCATTCCGTTGTCCATGTCCAGCACTCACATTTGTTATTTTTAGAGTCACGGGCATTGTAACAAGTCAATGTCGCACAATTCACAAATGTTTTCATCATTTATTTATAAATACACAGAAATACATATGTTGCGCTTGACTTGTGACACTTTCTATGCAATTGTATTGATGAGCACATCCATAAATCCGGCAATGCCCATCGTTCATTTCATGTTTTCTCTTTTTTTTTTTTTTTTGTACACACAAAATTACCTTAATTTAAATTAACCATTCGAAAACTCTTATATACTAAATTCAAACTACGTGTTTGTCGTTATGAAGTGTGTTCGAAAAATCAATATATATCAGACGATATCTATTGGTCTGCCGCCACTATTTATCGAAACTGAAATCGGTGTGAATACAGTGCTATAAAACGTTTAGACAAAACCTTGTTTAATATCATAATTTAAACGCTAATATAGGTGGCCTGCGTAAATTAATTAAAAATCTGAATAATAATATAATGAAATTATGATTATGTAACCAACATAATGGTTGATGATTTTACTACGTAAACACGTGTTTACTACGTAAACACGTGTAGCTCAGGTATCGGCAAGGCAGGTGGTTGGTCGTGCTCTTCTCTTGCAGTAGAGTTCGACTGGGTTTCAAGCCATTGGCAATTTTAGCAGCCCTGGTATCTACACTCGCCCGGCTTAAAAGTGACAGCGCGTACTTAATTTGTGTGAATTCCTAAATAATGAGTTAATTCAATAGACATTTATCAACAAGATAAATACAAATCAAATAATTAAATTGCAACTATTTCGGGTAAGCTGAAAATGAAGGATTGTTGTATATAAACGCATATTTCGTCTGTGTCGCGTTCCATGTTAAAAACAGCTGTTCCGCTCGCCAGAGCTGCCATCTTGGGGTCTGAAAAAATCAAGTGCCTATGTTAATTGCGTCTTGCAAGGCAACTCTGGTAGTGATGGTGCTCTTCTTTGTGTTATTATTGTAGACAAAGTCAAAATAAAATAAAAAATTGCTTATTATATTGCTGTTTGTCCATTGAAAGTGAAGTGCAAATCTGGACTTAGTCCAAGAGAATAGAGACGTAGAGACTCTGAAAATTGTAATTGGCTGAAAATCTAATGCGCGCTGTTGATTGGCGTCGCTCCAAATTTACCAAATTAATTGTTGAGCCGCAGACGGAGTTGAACATCATGGACGACGAGGCTATTGTGACTGTGGAAAAGGAGTTGGATCGCGTTGTGAGCAAATTGGAGCAACTGCATGAGATTGCATCTGCCGAAATCGGAGACGTTGCGTCGCTCATGTCGGAGCTAGATAATGTATTGGGCAATGCAGGACAAATGCTGGTCACCACACTCAATACGGGCACACAAATGAACGCGCCTGGCACTGGAAGCACTGACGATCCCATGGACGACACTGTAAACATGCAGGTGGAGACAGAACCAGCCGCTCCGCAGCGTCTCACCGAAAGTCAGATGGAAATAATCAGAGAAGCCATATCCAAGTGCAATGTTCGCGTGCAGAAGCTGTCGACGGAGCATCGCGACTCCCATGGCTCTGTTTCAAAGATTGGCAAGGCCATCGATCGCAATTTCAGCTCTGACTTCAGCTCGACGATGCGCGTGGACGTGCTGCAGGACGAGGACAACCTAATGCTACTAAACAAGGCGATTGCCAAACACTACTGCCGCCAAGGCATGGATGACGTGGCTCGCACACTGATCAAGGAGTGCAAAATGAGCGACAGCGATGCCCAGGATGTGTTCGACTCGGAGCGTGAGTTTGCCGAGATCTACAACATCTGGATACAGATCCAAAAGCGAGATCTTACCGAAGCCCTCAAGTGGGCTGTTCGCCATTCGAGTCAGCTGCTCGAGCGGCACTCGCTCATTGAGTTCAGGCTGCATCGCATGCGATTCATGCAGCTGGTCTCCTATGGCCTGGAGTCCCAGCACGAAGCCATCCTGTATGCTCGGAACAATTTCCAGAAGTTTGCCGTGCGCTACGAGCACGAGATTGCCAATTTGATGGCCAGCTTTATCTATCTGCCCGGAGGCCTGGAGAAGACGCCCTACAAGATCTTCTTGGCCCAGGAAATGTGGACCGAACTATCGTTCACATTCCTCAAGGACGCTTGCCAGCTGCTGGGCATTAGCAAAAACTCTGCCCTCTCGGTGGTCGTGAACGCGGGCTGCACCGCACTGCCCGCCCTGCTAAATATCAAGCAGGTGATGCAATCACGCCAAGTGCTGACCATGTGGAATGGCTGCGACGAGCTGCCCATTGAGATAGACCTGCAGCCTGAGTTCCGGTTTCATTCGATCTTCGCCTGCCCGATCCTGCGCCAGCAGACCACTGAGGACAATCCACCGAAGAAGCTGACATGCGGCCATGTCATCTCGAAGGACGCCTTGCACAAGCTCAGCAACGGACACATTCTGAAGTGTCCCTATTGCCCGGTCGAACAGAATGCCGAGGAGGCCGTTCGTATATACTTTTAACTGTAGTCCCTATCTTATAAAGCAATTAATCATAATAACATATATACTATGTAATTGAATGTGAGCCTGCCTGTTGGCGCGCTTAGAGCGGTTCGAGCGTGCACACTGATGCGGAGCACCACGAAGGATGAAGGGTGACGAGTGGCTGACCTGAACCGGGGGGGCGGATCACACTGAGTTATTGATGTTGAGTGTTTGGGCAGCTTTTTCCTTAAATGTTATTTGCAATTGTCGGCTCATCTAGATATGTTCTTTAGCTAAATTGGTGAGGCGGATTCGAACTACTTGGAGTTGCGCAACTTGTACGAGAGTAATAATCCTAACCAGCCCATTTAAAACCCATTAGCTTTTAGTTATATACATACATAATAAATAAACATTTATCTCTAATACAGCATCGTTGTTTATTTATTTGACTCGTGAAAATTTTCAAATTTTAAAATAAAGTATTATTTATTATTTAATTTTGCGAAATATAATATAGTACCCATCCTAAGAAATGCTTTAACCACATGATTTTTAAATCAACAATACATACAAGACAGGAAAATAAACTAATTAACATTTTTTTTTTTTTACTCTCCAAATTTAATTAAAGCTCCCATCAATATAATATCTTTTATTTCTTATATATATATTTTGCTATTATTTTCTATATAAATATTTTTTTCTAATCCCAATAATTGAAAGCAATACCAATTCCTAGTATGAATAATTCCTGACAACAGTTTTAATGTGCTATTATTTTTTCCCCTCTAGAACTCGATAATCGAATCGATATAGACAACTCCTTAAGCTAAAAATCTCCAATTTAGAAGTATCTGAATACCTATATCAAAGACTTATTATTATTGAAAATTATAAAACTTAATTTATTTTAAATATTTCATTATTATTATTTGTTTAAACAAGCACATGGTTTTAGCATTCATATCGTGCATATGATTACATCTATGGAAAATTCCAGGCAATTCGTGAATTTTGCCCACTGTGCGCTCGGTGGGTCAACGGTGGCCAGCGTCGAACCGGTTTCGGATTGAATCGTGTCGCAGACACGCTCTCAAATTTTCATCGGCTTTGTCTGGCCTGCCTTCCGTCTCCGTCTGCAGTGCATTTCAGCAATCGCTGGCAGACGGCAGACAGCTGATCTGAGGCAACCACACACACTCTCTGCAATCGAATCATACTAAATTGTGGTCTGCTTCTCTGTCTTTTTGGCTTTTAGCTGATTGCTTTTCGTGTTTAGTGAGTGGCCAACGAAACTCGAATACGCAGAGACGAGCTCGCCTACAGCTTTTGGCCGTGCGCAGAGATTGATCACTGAGAAAATACTACGGATTGTATAAAATGAAAAACGTCTTGGATGTGATGTCGTTACAGCAGCACGTGGAGACGAGCAAGGCACAGAATATGAAACCCATTGATTATCGGTGAGTCTCTCGTCTGCCAGCAACTCCAATTGCAGGCATAAAGCGCTTGGCGATAATCACATGTATGCATTATATACACACCTTTCAGGAAGTCCACCAAACCCGGTCTAGTGCCCCTCTACATTTTCGAGTGCGCGGCAAAGCTAAAGATGAAGCCCCTGACAGCCGCCTGCGCCGCCATCGTTTACCATCGCTTCTTCAAGGAGGTCAAAGCCAGTGACTACGACGAGTTCGTGAGTGTTCAATTGAATCCTTTTCGCTGTCAGAATTCTTATGTGTGTTTCATATGCAGCTAATAGCCGCCTCCTCGCTCTACTTGGCTGGCAAAATCAAAGACGACGACTCTGTCAAAATCCGCGATGTTATCAACGTGGCATACTGCACACTGAACCGCGACAGTGCTCCGCTGGACCTGAACGACGAGTACTGGGCCATGCGCGATGCCATTGTCCAGGCGGAGCTGCTGATAACACGTACCCTCAGTTTTGATCTGAACATCGAGCTGGCACACAAGGTAAGCCTGGAGTCCCCTACTAAGGCAGCCATTTAATCACGCGCTTTCTCTTTTTGGCGGCCGTGCAGTACCTGCTGTACTACATGAAGACACTGCAGGATTGGGTGGGCACGGACGTGTGGAACTCTGTGCCGATTGCCAAGACAGCCGCCTCGTACCTGCAGGACTTTCACCACAGCGCGAACATATTGAAGTACAAGCCCACCCACGTGGCCATCGGCTGTCTATCCCTGGCACTGCAAACATATGGCGTGCAGGTGCCACTCACCGACGAGTCGGACGAGGCCTCCATGTGGTACAAGCCGCTCGTTAAGGACTTTACTCGAGAGAATCAGTGGGAAATTATTGAAGACGTCATTGAAGTCTACAAGCATGAGGCATCCCTCATAGCGAACTGAACCTACAACACCATCATCATTTTCACCAAGAACTGGTCGTTCGATACCTTCCGCCATTCCCATACGATTTATTTATTTGCATAAAAAAAAAAACAAACAAACGGAAAATGAAAGTACTTGAATTACTGAAAATATGAAGATTTAATTACAAAGAATTCTGCAAAACTTTAATGACGATGTTTGTGCTTGTGCTTGTCCGTCCGGTGACGCCCCGGCGATACGCTGCGTCGATTCGAACGTGAGCTATAGGATGACGCTGGCGACGGAGATCTACGCGATGCGCGGCTCGAACGTTCTGAGTAGCGCTTGGGCGAGTCCGATTGGCTTCGTGAGCGATTTCGCTTGGCAGATCTGGAGCTGCGACTGCTCTCACCTCCACTCAATGGGGAGTGGGAGCGCTTGCGACTGCTGCGAGGGTTGGGACTGGAGCGAGAGTTGCTACTGTAGTAAGAACTGGACGCATGCCGGGGATCAGGACTCTCACTGCGCTGCATACTCTTTGATTTTGTGTGTATGTAGCTCAACGGCGAGTCGACAGAATTCGTAGGAGAGTTCTATGGATGACGATACGTTGAGTTAAATAAGTGAGAATAGTTTAGATAAGCATGCCAGTCGTCTTTTTAGTCAACTCACCCGCTTGAGCAAACGCTTGCGATAGTATTCAACCTGTTCGGACATTGACCAGCCAGGTTCCAATCGTCTCTTTCCCGATTCTAGCTCATCTTGATACTGCATGACTTTGACTTCGATTTCGCGAAGCTTTTGCCGCTTTTCATCATTGAATTTGTTTGAACTATCTCCATCGCTGTCCTCATCCGAGCTGAAGAATTTTGGCGGATCTGGTGGATCGAGTGTGTCCCATTTGCTAGTGGTTATGGCCTGCGCCTCAACTTGTTGCGGGTCAACCGTTTCCCACTTGGATGGTATAAATCCGGGCATCTTGGCTTGCGACTTTGTGTCTGAGGATTTTCGTATTTGCTCCAGTGGCACACCATCCAGATCATCATCCACTGAAAGTACTTTTATTATTATATATGCCGTGCCATACACATTATGACAAACGCTTACAGGGCACTCCATCGATTTCATCATGATATTGTTCTCGCTTCGGTGTGTCTCGCTGTTGCGTAGCTACCGCTGAGTCCGGTAGAGCAAGTTTCAGAGCGCTCTTCAGCAAAGCAGCCCCATCAAGCGGCACACCGTCCAAATCCTCATCGTCTTTATCTTCTCCTGAGAGCGGAGCACCGTCAATGTCCTCATCCAAGGCCTCCTCGGAGCGAGATTCTTCAGCTTGGGCTGGTGAAGTGGTCTGCAATGGATACTATGTTTGCCCTGTCTATAATCTAATACTAACAGTAACTGCATGTAATGCATACCTGACGGCCCAGGAATATGGCGTGCAATTGTGATAAGAAATCCTTTGGGTAAATAGTCCATTCCTCCCAGGTGCGTATGACATTGCAGACTCTCGTTTTGAAGCCCTCTGCCTTCAGGCGACTCTCTATAGCCAAATAATAGTTGTGAAGACTCTCGAAAATGTCCACCAATTGCTTTTCCACGCTGTAAGCGATCCAAATCAGTCAGGGCAATGGTTTCCCTTTGTTAGCATTAACTTACGATTTGCGGAAGAAAGAGGCATTCGACACCTTTACGGTGCAGTTGTGCAATATATCAGAAATGAGATACAGCCGCGCAATCTTCTTGGAAGCCAGGGTCTTTTGGTTTGATAACGATTCAGCAATGCACTCACAAATCTCGTCAGCTGCATCAGCATGTTCAATGCAAAATATCATCGCATCTCCGATTCGTGCGCGCTCTGGTGTTAAATGGCGTATTAGATCTTCGAGGCGATCGCGTTGTCTGCGCAATTAGATGCGAAATATAAATAAAGCACTATAAATTAGTTACAAATAACAATAATTACGCGTTCGATAAGGCGCCCTTGTGCACAACGGGTGCATCGGGATCAACAACCAGCTCGTCGGGCATGCCTTGCGTGTAGAAATTGGCCACAGGAGGCTTCCATACTGGCCCATCCTTGAACATACGGAACTGCTGCTCTCGCCACTCGCTGGGCGTGTCTCCCTGCAGCAGTGAGAACAGCTTCCAGCGATAGTAAATGTGCGCCGGACTCTCGTTGTCAAAGAGAAATGAAAAGAGTGGATTTTCCATTTCACGGCTCATAATCAAGGCTTCGAACATGGGTCCCTCGCGTATGACAAACTCGATCATGCGATGTATAATATTGAGCACAGATCTAAAATTCAGCAAATGCAATGTAATCAAATCTAATATTACTTTTTAATGAATTCATACTTCTCAGTCGGTATAAAGACTTTTACGACGGACTTGCTTAGAACCTGCAAGTGAAAGAAATATTGTCAATTAATTCATACTGGTGGACAACGTATATGACTTACTCTTTCCATATTCTCCTTGTCCTCAATGGTGTCATAGTCCTTGTAGTTCTTCTTGGGCAATGTATTCGCCTCGCTAGGTGGCGGCTGAGCATTAAAAGGCAACCCCGACGGTGGTGGCGGCAACGTGAGCTCGAGTAGGGCCTGCGGCGCAAAGATGGGCGTATTCATAATGGGCACTGTCTTGCCCCAGCCCAGGCGCATTTCATATCCCATTATATACCGGCCATTCAGAGTCCTCAGCGCACGTTCAGCATCTTTGCGACTCATGTACGCCACAAATCCACAATTGCGGCCACGCTGCTTCTCTTCCTCAGAGCGTGGCCACATGATCTTAATGCTTGCCAGTGGACCATAGCGACCAAAAATTTCCATTAACTGTTGTTCAGATATCTTTGGATTCAGGTTGCCCAAATAAAGATTCGTTGTATTCGGATCGCCGGTGTCAAATGAACCGCCCGCATCTCGAGCATTGGCCGATTGAGACTGAGAAGTGCTCGGAGCTTGCGCCTGTTGTTGTGGCTGCTGCGCCACTGGGGCACTCGCCACCGCCATATGCTTGTATTTGTGCCGTTCCTCGCGCTCTTCTTGTATTCTGCCAAAGATATAAGGGAACGGTTAACCAAGTGGTTAATTCGATAGTCCGTTATCTTACTGTCTCAGTTCCTCCTTGAACAACTCTAAATTGCTCTTTTTCTTCTCCTGATTCTTCTTTTTGAGAGGTGCGGGATCCTTCTTGAGATCAGATGCCAGAAGCTTTGCGTAGTCCTCCGCCTTTTCAGATGCGCTTCTTTCAACCAGTTTCGATCCCGGTTTGTATAGCTTGCCTTTCTCACTTTTGTCCTCTCGCCTGGAGCCCGCATCGTATGTACCGGCCTTTACCCACACCTTTGATGAGGCCGTGGGCGCTTCTTGAAAGGTCTCCACAAACTCTTTAAAGGCCTGAGCATAAACATAAGACAACAATTACAGTACTCTTCCATCATGAATCGCTTTTTACTCACGTGGGCCGCAGCCGCTTCATCTTCCTTCTTTTTCTGCTCCTCTAATTCCTTTTTGGACTGTAAAATCGAAAGTTTAATAAAAAGCCACACAAAATTGATCTTAGAACTTACCAATTGCCGCTTGGAAAATGTACCGACCGTAAAGGCCTCAAGCTTTTTCTCGCTGATGCGCTAAAGTAAACGAAACGTAAAATACTTGGAAACTCCTCTTGTATTATTTTTACCTTCATTCTGCTAAGATTTCTCTCAATTTTATCACTTTAACGCATTTATTTTTTAGAACTCAATTTTTCCTCTTCTCGCTAATTTAATCGATGTAAATTCTTAATGCCGATTTCGATTATTCGTACAAGTTGGAAGCAGGAGATTTTTAAATATGCACGTCATGCAAAAACCGATAATCAGTGAACTAAAACCTCAAATAACTTTCAAACTCTGAAGAAGTTTTCAGTATTTTTAACTGCCCATAAAACACTTTTTTATATTATATTTAATCAATTATTACTTTGCTAGCGTCACTTAAGAGTAAATTGTATATTATAATTTCAATTATAATTTTTTTTATAATATATTGAATATCGGCCCATAGTCACGTTAAATATCGATAAATTGATACGATATCAACATCTCTAATCACAATTATCTTAATAAATTTTGTACAACAAAATATACGGTGGTCGCTTGCTGCCAGCGTACACGGATAGATCTCAATCGCTTGGCGCGGCGTGAAGAGCCTTACAGGGAGTTATTAAAATGGAACCACAAATTTGTAGGCTATGCTTGCGGGGTTGTGGTTCCCAGATGTGCCTCCAAATCTTTAACAGTGAAGCAGGTGTCGAAGGTAACGTCCCAAATGTTGCGGAAGTTCTACGGCAGCACTTTTGGTTTGAGGTAATCCAAATTGATTATTCACATTTCGAAATTTTTGCATAGACATAGGCATTTGTCTATTTTAGGTTTCCCCGAACGATGCAATATCAAAAGTCGTGTGCAATGTGTGCTGGACACAGGTGTCTGAGTTCCACCAGTTCTATGTATCAATAAAAGAGGCTCAGCTTATTTTTGCCAATGCCCCGAAATTCAAACAGGATCCTGATCCGGATATGATGAATACGCCGTGGCCCGAGGAAGTTATGATGCCGGCTGAAGAGCTCACAGTGGATGAGAATACAAATAATGACTGCACTAGCACACAGGTCAACATAAATCCTTTAGATGAACTTGACCTGGAGATGGCAACGTATGTGCACGTTGGTACCGATAGCAAGCCGGAAATAAAATTGGAAAGGCTGACGCCCGACGAATTCATGAACCAATTGGACGATGTGGACATTATTGTTACACGAAGTGGTCGAAAGCGAAAACGTGATACCGAACCAATTGATAAGGAGCGAAGAACCAAAGAGAAAAGGTCAGCGCAATCAAAAGGCCATGAGAAGCGTAAGACAACCGCAAAGCGGACGTTCAGGAAACAGCAGTGGCCCCCATTCTGTAAAGAGGATGAGGACTTGATAAAACGCTATGTCGTAATGGGCTGTGAGTTGTGCATTTTCCTGGCGGATGATTTCGACGGCATTCGAGATCACTTCAAAGATAAGCACCCAGACGAACGGCCATATGTGAAATGCTGTGGGCGAAAACTAAACAAACGTTGTCTAATCGTAGAGCATGCAAGACGCCACGAGAATCCTGAATATATTAAGTAAATTAATCTCTATAGAAAGTGCCCAATATACTTGTATATGATAATCTGCTTGAACTATTACAGGTGCAATGACTGCGGCAAGGTATTTGCCAATTCGAGCGTGCTACGCGCCCATTGGCTGGTGCACCATGTGCCCGACGAGGAGTGCGACTTCCAGTGCGAGGAGTGCGGTAAACGGTTCTCACGGAGCAATCTCCTTGAATTACACAAGGGCTCGCATGTGCCAGCCAACGAGCGCAAGTTCATCTGTCCCGAGTGCCCAAAGCATAATGCGTAAGTAAAGATATTCATTATTAAAGACTTCAACTTATTAATATTTCAATCAATAGCTTTGCCACCGAGTACCACATGCAGGTGCACATTAGCATGCAGCACAGAAAGGCGGCGAATGTGTGTCATGTGTGCGGTAAGGAGATCAAGGATAAAGCTGTCTTCGAGAAGCATGTCCGCCTGCACTTCGAGGAGAGCGGGCCGCGAATTAAGTGCCCACGGCCCGACTGCGAGAGCTGGCTGAAGGATGAGGACAACTTAAAGCAGCATTTGAGGCGCCACAATGATGAAGGTAAAACCTTCATCTGCTCCGAGTGCGGCAAGAGTTGTAAGAACTCTCGCGCTCTCATTGGACACAAGCGTTATTCGCACTCAAATACAATCTACACCTGCGAGCAGTGCGGCAAAACCTTCAAAAAAGATATTAGTCTTAAGGTTTGTAAAGAACACTTGATATATTTGTGTATATATGGTATATAATATTCCAATTCCAGGAGCACATGGCACAGCACACTGGAGAACCCTTGTATAAATGCCCGTTCTGCCCCCGAACATTCAACTCAAATGCGAATATGCATTCCCATAAGAAGCGAATGCATCCCAATGAATGGGATCACTGGCGTAAAACAAAGACGGGAAGTTCCCAGAAGGTGCTTCCCAGTGCTCAAGTCTCGCAGATGTTCAGAGAAGATACTGAAACGTTCGCCATTCCGAATATTTCGAATGTGTTTTAAAAGAGCTAGCAGACTTCCTATACTATTGTATATATATTACTTCTCTTCTATATAAATATGTTTGTATATATGCATATAAATATAAAGAACCAATGAATACAATTGTAATAAAACGAAATAGTAATACAAAGTAAAATTTAAGTTTTTTGAGTTTTCGACTAAATGCTTTGAAACTTTTACTTACTTACTAATTATTGATAAGTAATTACCATTTTCGTATATGCCAAAGACTTATACCCCTTATTATTGAATTTTATTTTTTAAAAGAATACAGTTTTTTCTAGAGCTCCAATATTTCTTCAAATATGTGTTAACTGATCCAAATTTATGTTGCCAACCGTATCCAAATATATCTTATTGACAATCGATAATTTTCGATTAATATAATAATATAGTAATATCGCACATAGCCGATTATCTGAATGCTTCCTGCAATATTCTGAAAACAATTTTACAAATCGTTTGGCGCATGAAATCCAAGTTAGAATATTAAACAATAACTGTAAATATGAGTAAGCGGAACGCTTAGAGATTGTAGATGCTCCTGTGTCAAGTAAGCGTATTTCGACCAAGCGATAGTTTTCCATCAGCTGTTTGGACGTAGCTGCAATACTCATAACGACTATCGAACAATCGTGTGAATGTCCCAGCACTGATAGCTCTTAATACAAATAGCTACGTCAACAACATTAAAATGAATGTAAGTTTAAATTGTTTTGCCAACTAATGAGTATGCCTAAAGGAATTTAAACTGCATTAATTTAAAATGTATGAATAATCTCATTTACATTTAAATATTAGGAGTCGGAAATACCAATTGACATTCACACGTTGAAGCTCCAGGACTGGCTTGTGAGCAGGCGTATTGTTCCAAAAAATATTCAGGCCGCGCTCAAGGACATACACTCCAAGATCAGCAATGCTCTGCAAGACATGCCCGCCAACGATCAGCTGATCAAGTTGTTATCTGGTTCAAGTAGGTGCATCAATATTATCAATACCAAAACTTAATGTCCTTTGCCTTATTGCAGATATAAACTATTTGCATGTCAAGGAGATTATCGAAATACTCAAGCAAACTGAAAAGGATACCAAAAGCGTATTTGGCAACTATGGCAGTCAGCGTATGAAAGACTGGCAGGAAGTTTGCCGTCTGTATGAGAAGAACGCCACGTACCTCGCGGAGACTGCGCAAATATTTGTGCGCAATGTAAACTACGAAATACCTGGAGTACGAAAGCAGATGCTCAAACTTGAGCAGCAAATCGATGAGTCCTTGAAGCGCGCGCACGACCTGAATAAGCCAGAGGCACAGCTGCTTGCAGAACATGCAGCCTTGCTGGAACAATTGGGCGTAAAGGGCGAAAACTTGCATGCCGAGTTCATTGAAGTGCTGGCAGGCCTACCGGATCTGTACGCCAAGTCCTTGCAGGACATTGGTAGAGTGCAAGCAGGCATTGATTTATATGCCCAATTCAGTGGACAGCAACAATGTTTGCCCATTCTGCGTCATTTGGTGGAGCATGGAAACACCACAGTCTATCAGTACATTCATAAGGAAGCGCCTCTGGCCGTTGAGGAACCTGAGCTGCGTCTCAACTTCAGCGGCTCGAATTCGAGCAAAGAAAACGAAGGCAATGAAATTGACTTTGGTACTGACGACAATGGAGGAACATCCTCGACAGTCTCAGCGGAAATGATTGACTATGGCGACTTCCAGGAAACCGACGGCGCCAACATAGATTGGGGCATTGAAAGTGCGCCAACAAATGCCGTCGAGATCAACTTTGACATACCTGTCGAGGAGTACGGCATTGTGGTTGAGGGAACAGGCATGGATGGTGGCACAGCTAAAGGTCTGTTTTCAGAATGGACTCTATTCAGTCCACATTCTATAAATTTCCAATATTACAGGTGACCAGGCCTACACGCTACTCGATTCGCCCAACTATCGGGATCGGTTTTTGGACGAAATACACGAGCTGGAAGCATTTTTGCGTATGCGTCTCTATGAGCTGAACCACTTGGATTCGTCCAGCAACATAATGTTCTCACTGATGGACAACATTTCGACACACGACAGCGAGAGCATTACCAAAATATTGGGCGATGTTGAGAAGATCATACAAAAGACCTCGGATGAGCAGACGCGTCACCTCTTCCAACTGAAACATTCGCCCAAATATGCCGATTTGCTGACCAGCAAACTGCAGCAGATGACGAAAGCCGTGGAGAAGCTGCGCACGACTCGCGAGGTGCTGAAGCAGCGTGCCGTCGAGCTGCGCGAGCAGCGCCAGCAATTGAATCCAGTCCTGGATGAACTAATTGCTCAGACCCGAGCGTTACAGAGCTATATTGAAAAGGATATTTCCAAACGGTACAAGAATCGCGTTGTGAACCTAATTGGCGGCGTAAATTAGATGTTTGGCCATAAATGTTTCTGTACAGTTTTGAATAGGGTATATGTTTGGGAAGCTATGGAAAAGTGCAAATAAAATGTTGAAAATTAAATTTTTGTAATTAAGAGCATTGCTGAAATTATGACTTTATATGCATATATGTATGTGTGTATTATATGAATATATATCTAATATAATAGATATGATAAAATATTATTTTAGACATTCTAGCAATGAAAAAAAAAAAAAATTCCAGCTAATATATATAAAAATAGATTGATACAAATAGATATGTGCATATATACAGCTCAATAAAAATCTTGAAATTTAAAATATTTTTTTAAAAGAATTTTATTTATTTTTATTTTGCTATTTTTATTAAATATACAAATTTTATTTATATTTTTGTTTTCTTTTTTGTTGGTTTGCTTATTTTTGTATCCAGAATACAAATCTAATTTAATGTAGTTGTTGTTGGTTGCTTGTTTGTTTGTTTGTTTGTTCATAAAAGTAGCCTTACACTTGTATTGTTTTAAACTTTCACTTATGTAATGTTTGCTCCTTAGCTAAATTGCATACACAATTTGTAAACAAACGAACAACGCTATAAACTAATACGATTAACTTAAGGGGGAAGGGGTCTGAATAGAGGGTGGTTAAGGAAATACATACATACCAACTAAACATGTTTCTTTCGCTTTTTGTATTTAGTAAGGAGATTTGTGTGTGAGTGTGTGGATGGTAGGGTGAGGCTTACGATTTATACAGATGCTGATTGATCAATGTGGATTGGTTTGCTTTAAACGGGTTGCCATTATTTAAGTAATTAATCAATTAATTACACGAGTTTGGGTGTAAAAAGCCACAAAATGGATATACATACGCGATACAAACTAGACTTAGGCACTAATCTAACAAAAATATGTGGGCTCAATCGGCATTTTAGGTCATGTAAATAAAATCATATATATTTCCATGTTATAAATGTATGTATGCATATAGCTATATGTATATAATCATTGATTTTTTCAACTAAATAGAAAATAACAAGCACTATCGAAATTAAAATATATATATATATATATATATATAGATTTGTATATTATATAATTAGTTGACGGCAAAGGGCCTCATGATATGGTTTGAACAACTTTTCTGTTATCTGTTCTCTGCTTCTCGGCTCTGGCCTAGGCCTATCCTTATTGTGATGCAGGCCCCAAGCGCAAAACTCTTTCAAATCAATCTACAATCTTTCATATTTTTTAAGGTTCTTCATTTATATATATATATATATACACATATATATAAGGTTGATCTGATTTTATATTAACGTACGTATTTGTGTTCTCATTTCAGTTAAATAAGCATAAATTATGTTGCAAAAATTTGTTCGTAGGTTTTTTGTTTCTGTTCATCTTGTTGTTGTTGTGGTCTGGTGTAATTGTGGTTGTTGTTGTTGATACATCCTTACAGGCTACATATTACATCGTTTACGTAAATATTTATAGTGTTTATTTCTCTTTGTTTGTTGTTGTTTTCCTTACTCGCTACTATGTATATATGTATTTATATGTCTGTAGTCATGTTCTTGTTAATCTTCCTTCAATTATATATTTGATTTTATCTTGGTGCTGTTTGTGTGAGTGTGTGTGTGCTAGGTGTGTGTGTGTGTGGATGTGTTTCCTGTTTTTATTTGTATACACGTGTCTGATAGCGTCGGTCGGATTAGTTATACTGAGCATCGGCAAGGCCCAATCTTCGAGCTGATTTACTCGACCTATTTCATAACACTCCATACACTATATATAAATATATATATATATAGAGCTCGCCTTCTGTTAAACCTTATCTAGATAGAATCATCATCTGGCACGCTCTTAACGTGCAGACTAAACAAATGTGAATGCTTTTCAATGAAAAACATCGCCTCTCTTGGCGCTTAAACTTGCTGCTGATGCTGGCCACCAGTGCGTGTGATTATGATTATGATTATGATTATGCGCGTAGTGGTGGGACTGCTGGTGGTGCCCTGGGGCACCACCCAGCGCCGGCTACTTTGGTTGTCAATCGTTCTTCACTGGATAGTAGATAAGATCGGGCTGCTGCTGCATATGATGCATGTAGTCATTGATCGGCGGCAGCACGGACTTTGAATCGTCGCCCAGCATCGGATAGCCCACACCTACGCCGACGCCCACGCCAATTGGCGGTGCCGTCCGCTCATAAACGCTGCCATGCGGCGGCGGCGGGGGCAACAAATGCGCGGTGCCCGCCAGCGAGTGCAGCGGCTGTTGCAGTCCATGCGGATGTCCCGGATGACCGTGGTATGGCTGAAAGCTGTTGTGCTTCTGCTGATCGCTGACCAGCTGGTCGCTGAGCGCGCTGTGGTTGTGATGTTGTTCGTAGGAGACGCCGCCGCCGCCGCCATAAACGTTGCCTGGGCCGCCATGCCGCATTAGGCCACCGCCATAGGGGCCGCCCGCATTGTGATGTTGCTGCGTCGGCTGCTGTTGTTGCGGCTGCTGTGATTGCTGCTGCTGTTGTTGTTGTTGCTGCTGCTGCTGAGACGCCTGCTGCTGCATCATATCAAAATTGTACTCCATAGGCGTGGGATTCGTATCGATGAGATTCGTTAGAATACTGCCAATGTTGTTGTAATTGTGAGCATCTCCCGGCCCGATTTGATTCGACTGCGACTGCGGCGTCGGCGGTTGCTGCTGCTGCTGTTGTTGTTGTTGTTGTTGCTGCTGTTGCTGTTGCGGCTGGACCTGTTGTGGCCACATGTGCTGGAAGCCCAATATGTCGCCCGCCAATGCTGGGTCTTGTGGTTGCTGTTGTTGTTGCTGCTGCTGTGGTGGTGGCTGTTGCTGCTGCTGCGGCTTGTTGACGCCCACGGCTGATTGTTGCTGTGCAGACGACGCCGGAGCACCAACGCCCATTGGAAGCCCGAGAAACTCTGTTGAGTCGACAATGTAGAACTTGTCCTTGAGCTCTGGCTGGCTGTTTGGTGGGCCGCCAAAGCCCATATTGCCCCAGGATTCATTCGCCTGTTGCTGCTGCTGTTGTTGTTGCTGCTGTTGTTGCTGCTGCTGCATAAATTGTTGCTGTGTTGCGGACGCTACAGCTGATGGTGATGGCTGGGGCTGCGGCGATTGCAGGCGCGAGTGCTGATGCTGCGGCGAATGGGTGTGGCGATGCTGTTGTAGTATCAGCTGGTGCTGGTGATGCATCGGGGGCATGTGATGTGGCGAGGTGAAATGCTGCTGCTGTTGTTGCATCTGCTGTGCTTGGAGTGGATGTGGATGCGAGTGCGGATGTGGACTCTGAGGCGTATGGCTACGCATATGCTGCTGCTGTTGCTGCTGGGGCGGCACCTGTGGCTGCTGCGGTTGCTGTTGCTGCTGCTGGTATTGATTTAACAACTGATGCGGATAGCCGCCAGTCGGATTGCCCGGATTCGGCTCAAAGTGAAACTGACTCTCCGGCCCACCGAAACTGTTCATGCGCTGCATATGCATCTCCGCCGTTGCATTGTTTGGCGTATGCGGCGTATGGCGATGATGCGGTGGCGCCTGCTGCTGTGGCGTCGGCACCGATTGCTGCTGCTGCTGCTGCTGCTGTGAGGGCGGCGGCGTCGCTGCAGCGTGCTGTTGATGTTGTTGATGCAGCGCATTCTGCTGCTGCTGCTGTTGCGTTGGTGGTGGCTGTTGCTGCTGCTGTTGTTGTTGTTGCTGTTGTTGTTGTTGTTGTTGTTGCTGCTGCAACTTGTCCACATTAAAGCTCTGATTGTACATGGAATTCTGTTGAGATTCGCTCGTGGAGACCGAGTGCTGCGACGTGGATGCCGTCGAGGACTGCGAGCTATTGCTGCTCACAATGGCATTGAATTGATCCTGCTGCGAGCAGCCCGGCGTCGTCGATAATGGTGGTGGCGGCGTGGGCGTGGCACCCGCACTAACCACCTTGCCAGCACCCGGCTGCATCTGCTGCTGCTGTTGTTGTTGTACTGCGGCTACGCCCGCCTGTGACTTTGCCTTGCTGACCGCTGACTTTTTGCTTGCCTTCACCGGCGGCGGTCCCGGCATATCAGGCAGCGAGGCCATATCTTGAAAGGATGTCGTCAAATTAATACAGTTAACTTAGCTGTGGAATAATGGAGCACTCACCTTCTTCGTTCGCTTTGGGGAAACGCTGTTTGCCCTTCTTAGGCGGCGGCGGCTGATTGCCATGCATTGTCTGCTTGTGGCGCACCAAGTGAGTCTTCCACTTGAAGGTCTACGGAGCAACAGAAATGAGATTTAGTATACTCAGACATAGATATATCCTATATATGTACTCTACCTGATCGCAGTGGTTGCAGCAGTGCGGTCGCTCCTCCGAGTGGGATGGCAAATGGCGCTGCAGGGATTTGGCGGAGCCGAATCGCTTGCCGCACAGCGTGCACTTGCACTCGGAGACATCGACGTGGGCGTTGCTGTAATGCTCCTTGAGCGCAGGATATGTAAAGTAGGAGGATCCGCACAGGTCGCACACATAGGTGCGCTTCACCTCGGTGTGCAGCTGCACGTGCCGCTCCAGATTGGCCTTGAGCGTGAAGCGGTTATGGCAAATGTGGCACTCGAAGAAATTATCTCGCTTATGCACGCGTATTATATGCTGGTACAGCGCATTCTTGGATGGGAACTCAGCACCGCACACCTCACAGATGGCACCGTCGGCCTTGTGGCCGGTATCTTCAAAGTGCTGCTGCATCTTCTTCTGCGACAGCTTCAGGCCGCACTCGCCGCACGGAAAGACTGCAATGGAGCAGCAAAAAGCGAGATTAGTTTGACACTTAACAGAGCTCATTTAAAAATAATAATAACAATAATAATGAAATGCCTTTTGTCTGGCTTTTGGCAGACATCGCTGGCCTTGGTGAAATTTACATTCACGCCGACTCACTTTTGAAATCCTTCTTGTGCGACTCGACGTGCGCATGGAACTGTTGCCGGCGTGAGTAGGATTCGCCGCACGTTTCGCATACGAACGGAAACTCCTTCACGTGCATCGTGCGATTGTGCTGGATGATTTCCTGCAACGAAATTAAACAGATTAATATTGTTTTGGTCTAAACAAATCGCAGACTAAATCTCGTTCGCACCTCCAGCGTGTTGCCGTTGGGCTGGCCACAGTCGTGACAGTAGCCGGGATGCAGCTTGTAGTGATCCAACAGCGACTTGCGTTTCCTGTACGATTTGGGGCACAGCAGGCAATTGTAGCTGGGCTTGTCCTTTTTACTGCCCGGCGTTTGGCTGCCGCCCATCTGGGAGGGCGGTGCCTGCAGCGAGGTGCTGCTGCTGCTGCCGCCATCGATGAGCTGCTGTTTGGCCGCGTCCATCTCATCCATCTCATTGTCCAGCTCGTCGTCCTCCTCCTCGCCGGACAGCTCATTGTCGTCCAGCTCCAGCGAAGAGTTCAGCTGCGAGCTGACGCCAGTTGGCGTCAAATGCGACGTCTGAGACTGCGACTGCGATTGCTGCTGGTGCTGGTGCGGATGCAGATGCGACGGCCGATTGTTCATCAGCTGCGCATGCTGATGCTGTGGAAAGGGGCTCTGCTGTTGCTGCTGCTGCTGCATTTGCATCTGCATCATCTGCTCGATGATGGGCGGCATTGAGAGTGGATTATTGCTTGAGTTGTAGTGATTCTGATTCTGGCTCTGATTCTGGCTCTCGTTCTGCAGTTGAATCTCACTGCCAGACATCAGCTGCTTCGTCGCCGACATCGCAACACCTTCCAGGCCGTAGCCACTTCTAATGGGCATGGTCAAATGTTGCGATTGCGACTGCGACTGCGACTGCGTCTGCATCTGCGCCTGGCTCTGCGACACCGACTGCTTGCCGGCTTGCTCCGGGCCCAGTTGCTGGGCCAGCGCATTGTTGTTGCTCTTGCTGCAGTTAATGTTGTTGTTGATATTGCTTGACGATGTAAGGCCATTGATTCCGAGATTCCCACTGCTGCTGCTGCTGTTGCTGCAATGGACAAGGATTAGTATTTCAATCTTCATTGATTATTCTATTTGATCAACTTACAGATGATGAGAATGCAGCTGCGTCCCGTGGCTGGAGTCCATGAGCAGGGAGGCGATGCCATTGTCATGCACAGCACTGCTGTTGCTGTTGCTGTTCCCGCTGCCGGTGCCAGTCACGCTGCCCAATCCGCTGCCGGCGCCCGCCAGCATCTCATCTATTTCCGGCTCCATTTCCAGCCCATCGATGAGGCGACCTGCGCCCACACCCTCGTCAATGAACTCCTCAAACTTCATAATCTCCTGGGCAGCCGAGGACAGCTGCGATTCGGTTTCCGACTCCAGCTCAGAGTCACCAAATGAAATGGATCTGAGCTGGTGTGGCTCTTGCTGCTCCAGCTGTAGCGGCATTTCGAGCTGTTGCTCCAGTTGCTGGCTTGGCGGAAGCTCCCTCTCCAGCTCAAGCTCTTGCCCTTGCTCCAGCTCCTGCTCTCGTTCCTGCTCTTGCTCCTGTTCGTGCTCCAGCTCCTTCTCCTGTTCCTCTCCCAGCAATCTCTCAGCTGCCGCGGTTGCCGCCGCTGCCTTGGCCACCTCCTGCCGCCGCTCACGCTGCCGTCGCCACTCGTCCAGCCGCTGCTCGCGCAGCTCCTTCAGCACACGTGTCGAGGGCGTGGTGCCCAGCAGCCGGCCGGTGATCACAAAGTTGTCGTAGAATTGCTTAAGGAAGGGCTTATGATGCTGGCTCAGCGCCAGGCGAAGCAGCACCCGGAACTGCGCCTTGAAGGCTCGTTCACTGAACTCCCCGCTGCTGTGGTGGTAGCGCAACGTGTACTTGTCGTCCTCGTGGAACACGTAGCCCTCGCCCAGGCGGGGGCGTGTCTTGGCAACGGGCGTGGCCATCACCTCCACCAAGCTGCCCATGTGGCTGTTGTTGTTGCTCCGTTTCCGCTTAACCAACGACTTGGAGCCCATAAGATTCTGTTTTCGGCGCAGCAGGAGCTCCGCGCAGCTGTTGCTTCTATTGCTTCCGTTGTCATAGTTATCGCCAGCGTCGTCATCGTCCTCCTCCTCCGTTTCATCATCAAACGTCGCCGAGTACTTGCGCTTCACCAGGCCACTGGCCACTGTCGTCGTCTGTATCAGATCGAGTGGATCGCTGGAGAGGAGCATGGGACTCGTCCCGGCCATCGCATCCACATTGTTGTCGGCACAGGCGTTCGTGGCGCTATTCGTGCGGTAAAAGTGCAGGCGCTGCTTACTCATGGAAGAAGAGTTCTCTGTGTCGTCGGCGTCATCTTCGAGGAAGTCATCCTCCTCGTCGAGGCACTTGTAATCCTCCTTGCAGAGGATCTTCTCAAAGTTCTGATTCAAATCGATCGCGGCTGCCTCATCCTCTCCCTCCCTTTTGATTTTCGCAATCGACGTCGGCTCCGACTCCAACTCCGACTGCGGCTCCGTCTTCTCCTTCTTGGGGGTAAGCAGCAGCTGCAACTGCTCGCTCTTCGCTAGCTGCGTTGCGTCCGGTGCCAGCTTCGATCCGGCGCCATTGTCATTGGGATTGTGACTGAACAGATTCCTGACGACTCTGTCGCAGGCCTCTGGATATTTGCACTTAAGCGTTTGCAGCAGAAATGTGATTGCATCGCACCGCGATACCGCACTCAAACTATCCAGCAGATTCACTGACTGATCCACCTGTAAAGCAAAGAACAAGAGTTTTAATATAGCATGTGATACAAATCAAATTTAAGTAAATTAATATTTTTGTAAATTAGTTTGAATTAAATTCTATATTGTTACAATTTTATATATGTATTTTAATATAAACTATTTCAAATCATTACCGAATTATTTAAACAAAACTTTAGCACAAACATATTTATGCGTAAGTTAAATAATTATAGTAAATAACTAGAAATGATAGATCGTTTTAAATTAATAATTCCTATTAAACATATCAAAATGCGCTTATTATTTAATTCCAACGAAAGCAAACACGAATTTGTCTTCGAGTTCTATTTAAAAGATTAAGTCATATTTTCGGTACTTAAATAGAATTATTTCCTATCGTTCCATCTTCATTCATCTAATATCTCGAGCACCTCACTAGAGCATTTTGTTGTTATTAATTAATAAAATTTAAAGATTATTGAAATGTTGCTAACCGGTGTCACGTGCCCACTTGCTGAATATCTGAATCAATGAAATGTCCAATTAAATCAACGGTATATTTACCTACAATTGTTTGCACTGTCAATGTAAGTATGTGTATGTATGTGTGAGTGGGTGAGTGTTTTACCCCAATTAAATTGAACAGAATAAACACTCACACGTGCACTCAAAAACTGTCATTAAATGCAATTACTGATTATGATTTTCCAAACAATTTAATGCAATTAGAGCGCCAAGAGCGCGCGCGCTTAACTTAGCCTGCGTCGGTGCTAGCGTCGCTGCTGACGTCGACGTCAACGTCAACGCCAGTGAGACCATGGGCAGACAGCGCGGCGACAGCGACAGCAACTGCGCTGCCAAAGCGAACGATTAGCGCACAGCATAGTGAACGAAGATGGCAAAGGCAAAATTGTATAAAAAATAACAGGAAAAATAAAAAAGCTATATATAAACATACATACATACACACACACATTCACATACACAAGCACATGTACAACAATAACAAGAAATTTAAAAAATAAAATAAAAGAGCGCGCAGCAAGGAACGTTGGCCAAAGGGGGAGAGCAAAGAAATTAAAACAGCGCACAATTTGTGCTACTTTTTCCCCATTCCACAATGTTGCCATCTCAATATGTAATGTGTGTGTGTGTGTTCGTGTTTATATTTATGTGTGTGCGGGAGTTAAAGCAGCGAGTCAACAAATTATTGTAGTTGTAGTTGTAAAAACATGATGGCGCTCTCTAAATTGCTCTCCCACAACCCACCCACTGGCTGACATTTGTTTAGAGAGCGAGAGAGGTTGAGCAATATATACATACACATGTATATACGTATGTATATATAAATGGGGGTACAGAGAAAGAGAGAGAGAGAGAGAAAGATGTATAAAGAGCGCGGTAACTGTGATGAACGGGTTGGGGGCAACGGCACTGAACAACACAACTTTGGCCCCGCTGGCACTTTTCAAATATTCTTTCACCAGAAGCATAAAATTAATATGATGTTTATCAAATTGAGAGAACTAATTAAGAGCAAGCTAAGAAAGAGGAAATTAAATGAAATTTTAAATTGAGTCTTTAGCGAAATATATTACATTTATCAAATTGATGTTAATTTAACTGTGATTTACTTTCTTGTTAACAATCAGATTGCAGATATTTTTACCGCTACTAAGGGAGTTTTTAAATGTAAATGAAAAAGGTAAAATATCTAGTTATCTCTGTATTCCCAATAAATCTACATATATTAAACAAATTAGCATATTTGGCGGCTCAAGTTAAAAAAAAACCTTGTCGAAGAATCAATACATTCGTGGAAGCCATTGATGACTCGACATAAAAAGCTGATATATACTTGTGTATACACAGATACATACATACATTCCATTCAACTGGATATTAATGTTCAATAAATTATATAATCTATAAAAAGAGGCATATACTTTATGAGCTTCAGAGCTACCTCACTTCTAAATTGGCGCGAATGATGACATAAAAAAGTTAATCTTAATAGATTTTTCCGATTCTCCTTTATGTATTTACAAAAAATCTCATTTAGAGTAAACAATTCCAAGAAAATAATTAAAATTATTATACAAATTATATTTTAATATAATCGATTGGCACAATATCTATATTATTATCATCAATGTAAACAGACATTTAACTTTCAATCCGGTGGCAACTCTGCATGCAAGTATGTATTCTAGTCGAAATTGACAGTTCACATTGTTGCAAGTTTAGATTAAAGATAACGCGAGCAACTGAATGCGCACGTGTGTGCGTCTGTCTGGGTGTGTGTGTGTATGTAAACACTTGTTTGTGTGCGTGTTACAATGTTTATGTGCGTGTCTATTATATACAACTTTATGAGAAAAAGGCACAAACAGACAGAAAAAGAGGGAGAGAGCTTATTATACATACAAACATATATTCATTTATGTGCATGTGTGTGTGTGTGTCTGTGTGTATGCCTGTTGCAAAGCTGAGCGCAAGACAAAAACAAATTACATGTTTAATTACATAAATACATACACACATATACAATTATGCGAGTGTTAGTAATTACATACATTATGTTGTTCATATTAATTGAAAACGCATCTGTATATATTTACTATGTAATTAAATACAGTTTTAGATTCTTAACGGAGCGTGAGAAAAAGGAACGGGGGATATGGAATAGAACATAGTTTGAAGAGATTGCGAGTTACGAGGAATTTCTATCAGTTGCTTTAAATTTAAATAGAACATAATCAAGAAAATATTCAAGCTCGCTTTGCCCCGCTTTATTCAATTCTAGACTCTTGATATATGTAAATATATTTAATATAACTGTAAAATAAATAATAATTCTAGATTCTTAATATATGCAAATATATTTAATATAACTATAAAATAAATAGGATAGAAATCAAGATAAAAATCACGTAAAAATAATTTGAATTAAAATTCCGGTTTCTGCATTCTATTCAATTCTATTCAAGTTAGTTGAAATGAAAAGCTAACAGGAAATTAAATTGCCGGTTTAATATCTTATAAACGTACACATACACATGCATACATATTTATGTATGTACATAGATATATACATATATATATATATTGAATATATAATACAAAGAATAGCTGATAAATAAGACATTTCTATATACCGAATTTATTCTCGTCTATACATGCAGGAAAGTATGTATATGTATATATATTTGTATATAAATAAATAGGCATGTAAAAGTGCTTGAAATATCTATAAAAACTAAATTGAGCACAGCAACTAGGTGCGTGCGTGTGAGTGCACATATACACATACACACACACCCATACTCATAGTACAAATATTTGAAGGCTTAAGAGATCTATGGCATAAGCACGAGCTACACAAACACACGCACACACACATGTACGAAATGCTTGTTCTTTTGTTTCACTTAAAATTTATGGGTCTTTCGCTCTTTGTTTCCTTTTATCGTATTTAAGTCGTAACAAGCTTTCCATGCTTAACATTCCGAGTTTCGAATTCCGAATTCGAAATTCGGTAACAAAACTTAGTTTTAGCTATTATGGGGTGTGGCATCTGACATCTGACATTTATCAAGATAAGGTATAAATTATAGGATTTCATGTAATTGCGGAGGTATACAAAAATATATGTACATTTGTTTGTATGTCTGTACATATAGAATTGTTTTCATGGAAATACAATAGTAATGCTGCACTACACAAAGAATAGAGAGCAAAGAGTATTACGACTATAAATTACGACAATTAGAATTATATCAATCGATTCAAAAGACCTTAAGAATACTTATCAAGAAATCGGTATACTTTCGAGCTTAAGATTATAATCTCAATACATATTGTAATCTGTCATTTCCCTATTTTAAAATATAATACATATCTATTTCTGTTTGTATTAAATTAAGACAATCTCTATTTTTATTTTTTCAAAATTGCAAGAAAAGTAGCACATAATAAAGATTTTTCATCTCAGACGAGATAAACAGTTAGAAACCAACTAATTGTGGTATTTAGCAAGATGATAATAGCTCTTTTCTATTTGTTTATTAATTAACATCTGTTCAAGATTAGAAGTAATTAACATTTATGTGCATATGAGCAGAAGTATATGGACAATTAATAACTTGCTTAACCTTATACTACTCCGATGCTCGTAAGTGAAAAAGCAATTAAAAGTGTTAAATTTTAACAATAAAAACCAAAAAATAAATAAAAATATAAAAAAAAAATTATCAAATAACTTTTAACTTTTTAAAAGACAATCATTAGATTAAATATTAATAATAACAGTAAACATATATATTTAAAAGACTGTGTATATTAGCATATACATATATGATTATATATTTATATTATATATGATTATAAGTTGTTATCATATTCTTATGATGACAATTAGCATGCATATGCAATATGCAAACATCATCTAATGTTAATTTAAATTAAATAAATTATAAAGATTTAATAATTATCATTACAGACATGCTAAATATGCGACAAGTGTGCTCGCAGAGCTAATGGACTTTTCTGTAGTTTATTCAATAAGCGCTTGTCTATGTGCACATGTACTTAAAATACAAATGCAGTTTGTCTTGATTTATTGGATTTGGCTGCATCTTTTTCGGCTAGTTCGTTTTAATATTGTTATGTACCTGTTCGGCACGCACAAACACAGCGACAAGTCTACAGGGAAAGAAAGAGAGAGAGAGAGAGAGAGAGAGAGAGAGAGAGAGAGAGAGGAAGAGTGAGAGCACACAAGCACACACACATACTTCAACATACATATTTGTTTACATACATAGCACATATTTAGGTTGCCAAACTGTGAAAACGTTGCAGCTGTAGCTGAAGTGGGGCAAGAATTGCGGCTGCATTTTTAGCAAACTTATGTTTTAAATTTTGCGATCTTACATACAATGTACATACATACATATACATATGTACATATGTATGCAAATAGACGACCACACTCACACACTTGTCTATGCAAATATATATGTACATATGTACTTATATACATATGTATGCATGCTTGGGTATAAAAATACATACTTGCATGGTTTTACTAATCAAATAAAAATAGCATTTACGTTGTCCTCCTTTATTAATGAAATTGGCACAAAGCGAAACAAAACGAGCTACACACACACACATGCACATACAAATATGCATGCATATGCATGAATGAATGTACAGTGGCCGACAGCTTAAGCGGATGATTTGATTTGAACATAATAGCTTTAATTTATGTATACAAAACTATATTTATACGTACAATACAGATATATGTTTATATACATATTTATGTATTTTTGTATTGATTTGTTTAAAATGTCTATTATAAATTGGTCAAATTTACATAAAAATAAAATAATATCTAGTTGACTACTTTATTTTTATGTTCACTTCACATAAGTTTTATAATACATTTTGGTATACATTATATATACACATTAAGTTTCCCAACAGGTTTTAAGTAAATTAAGAGCAATAAAATATTTAATTGAGAGTGCAATTAGTAACTTCTTCAAGTTTTACGATTTGAAAAAATAAAACCCAATTAGTTTCAGCATCTTTATATTTCTCTTTCTCTATTTTTCTGTTTAGCAACAAGGCAGATTTTTGTGCTGCATTCCAACAAGAACAAGACTGATTAAAATATCCTACAGGCCTGATATTGTACCACTGTGCACGCTGTTTACAATTCTTCACTTGTGCTTTGCTCGTCCATTCGTTCTCCCCCTCACACAAGCGCACATACACAAACTTATACAAATACAATCAAATTCATGCTCTCTCGCTGTTGTTTTTATTGTATTTGTAGTCAGAGTGGCGCGCACAAGTTGAATTTCGTAGTATTTGTAGTATTTATGCATATACATACAAACACATATTTAACTATGTAAATGTGCTTATTCGTTCGTTCATATAACGCATAAGTGTTTGTATGGATGTATCTCAGTCTGTATGTGTGTGTGCGAGTGTGCATTCAAGTAATGTAATGTTGTTATAAACTAATAAAAATAAAAATAAATATTTTCTCAAAACGACGAGGAAAACAAAACAAAAGTGAATAATAGCTAGCCTCACAACTACAACTACAGCTACAATGACAAAATGGGTCGAAAGTGGGAGAAGTAAAACTGACTGCTTGGCTTATGGGTTACAGAGGGGAAATAAAAGAGAAGGGGAAAAACAAAACTACAATTCATTTTAGAAAAGAAAAAATAAGAGAAGCGAAGGCTTTTATGTAGCACTGGTGTGAGGGAAATGAGGAAAGGGAGTGCTATGGGTTAGTAGGTGGGTGAAGAGCTTAGGAGGTAGAAGATGGGGTAGGGGTAGGGTAGGGTAGGGTTGGGTGGAGCAAGGGCACACAACTAGACTGCGGAAGTTCATACACAGCATAATCACGAAATATCCATGTTGACTGTGTGTGTATGTGTGTGTGTTAGCGCGCGGATATTGTGCAAGAAGCGATTGAGGAACGGGAAATGCGGAAGAAGAACAGACTAAACGAACAAAGCTTTTAAATAATAAAACAAGCAGCTGCCTCCACTGCCCCAAACGGCATTGTTGAAGCATAACATAAAGTCGACTGTCCGAAATTAATATTGATTGCAGATCATAAACAAAATGTACCATATAATAAATAATTCCTGCGGGATCTCTCAATTTTGTTTCTACACACAGTTTTTGTGAGCTGAGTTTATAAAATTCTACAGTTTCTTAAATTTAGCATTACACAAAAGTTTATAGCATAACATTGCCACAAAAACAATAGCTGAAATTAAACTGTTAGTGCACACTGTACTTCACTTCATTTGTTATCTCTCTCTCACTCTCTCCCTCTCTTCGGGTTCTACATGCGACTCTGCCGCTCTCTTCGTTGCCTACGCATTACACGTTGTTTTGCCACTCTCATTTGATAGTCGCACGGAATGTAGACTTACATATACATACATACATGCCAGCATGCTTCTGTGTGTGCGTGCGTGTACATGAATGTACACACTTATATATGTTTAGTTAAATGAGAGGAGTCGGGGGTATGCAGAGCATTTTATAGAAAACATTATTTAATTACCAGTAATTTAAAATCCAACTGTGTAGTTTTGTTATCCATTTTGTTGTTGGTTTCTGCATTTGGCTGAATTTTATTTATACGTTTCACTTACATACACACACAGAGATACACATACACACTTGCGCTGCACACACAGACACAATTTTAATATGCTCATACACACATACACGTACGTACGTATGTATTTTATTATTTCGATTTTTCTTTGCTTGTGTTTCGCGTTTCTTATACTTGCTTGCTACAGCGCAGCTCTTTTTTTTGTGTTATTTCATTTTCCTCATTTTTCTTTTGCCTTATTATACGTTAACGTTGACGGCTACTGCGGATGTCGTTGTTGCGGCTGCTTCTACACAACTTTTCTCTTTATTGACAACATTGAAATATTGTCATTGGTTTCACATTTTGTTGCATAAATTAACAACATCGAATGATTTATGAATATTTGTACACTTAACTATTGCTGCTGCCTGATTGCCACTTTCTGTGGCACACGCACGCACACACACACTCACACCGAAGCGCGCTCAATGATGATCTGCTGCGTAGGAAAAATTTCTTAAGATTTCCTGTATTTCGTACTCCGATACGCGTAATATATATTTTAATTGTTTTCCATCTAGAGAAACCGATTATTTAATATTTTTACAAATATAATTTACTTTTTTAGGAGCGAAAACTGCAAAAGGCGACGGAATTTCCACTAAATGTTTTGTATGGTATTTTTTAGTGAGTACGAAAACAGTGTCCATTTTTAGGCATTTTTTTACGATGACTGCCAACTACTTCTAGTTTACGGAGTTGCCACATCGCACATTTATCGTTATCGCAATCACCATTTAATTTTATTTCCTAGCCCGTAATTTTGAAATTTTATTTCGCATACAAAATTAACGCAATTTCAATCAAATTTAAAAACTATTTAAGATTTTGACTGTTGCTGAGCTTGCTTCTCCTTTTTGGCGGCCTCTGCCTCAGCTTCTAGTTTGTTGTACTTCTCAATCAATTTCTCCACATCGGGCTTCTCCAAAATGCTGTAGACAGTCGCATTGTTGATGCGCTGCAGGGTGGCCATTTCTACCTTCTCTGGAGTCAGCTTTGTGGTGTCCAAAGTCTTGCTAAGAACCTTAACGGCCAAATCCTTGGCTTCTTCCAATTTTATGCTCTCTTTATCGGCTAACTCCTGCTTCAGCATAGAAATAGCGGCACCGAAATTGTTACCAATGCAAGTCGCCTTCCAGCCGCCATAATTGCCACTGGGATCCGACTGATACAGCTGATAACCATACTTGCTGTCCCATCCCATATATAGCAACGAAACGCCGAACGGACGCTTGCCACCATACTGGGTGTACGCCTGCTTAATGTCACACAAGTGAGAGACAAGCTGCTCGCATGGAATCACCTCGCCGTAGCTGAATTGGTAGCGTTGGGCGATGAGGCGCAGCTCTGCGGTCAACACATTTGCATCGGATGTGATGCCTGCCACGGAACAGACCATATTTCTGAAAGTTGAATTTATCAATTAACACTATTTATATACATTTACAATTATATAAATAACTCCATTACTCATTTAGACGGTAAATTTTCTCGGATGGAATCGCATTATCGAGCAACTTGTTTGTGCTGCGGCACTCGGCTGCAAGCACAATTCCATCCTCTGCCAGAATACCGAGGCATGTGCCGGCATGCGATATAGCTTCCATGGCGTACTCCACTTGGTAGAGTCGGCCCTCGGGCGAAAATATTGTCGTGCGAGAATCATAACGTCGAGCCTGAAAAAATATGCAAAAAATAATTGTAGCGGTGATTAGGCAAATCGCGCATGTAAACGAAAACAGAATTAATTGTTCTTAGTTCCAGCAGTTAATTTTGCTTATGTTTGTATTCATATGGAGTGCAAAGCAATTACCATTTTTTGTTAATTTTATGAATATGTAGTTTATATTCTTTTGTAAATTCAGCAAATATGCGGCGTCGAGGTTTGTTTCTCTCAAATTATACTTGTCATCGCCGAGACCAGAGTTGTCACCCTTTCTTAGGTTTGTTTTATCGATAGAATTAAAAATACCGATAATTTTAATGCCTTAGCCTATAGCATATATTTAATATATATGTTGTTCCAGATGTTATTAAAATCAATAACGTGTATTAAAAAAAATTTATATTAGCATATAAAAATAATTTTTCCACATATTCGATATTTTTCGATAGCTACATAGAAAAAACCGAATCGATAAATCATAGACAGGGTCGGTTCCAACATGATATGATTCTGACAGCTCACATTCAACACTAACCATTCAATGAGCGCCATTTTTGAACTAATGCTTAAATGTTTAATGCTCTTAATTTGAATAAGGGCTTAAATATCGAAATATTTGTATTAATAAATACAGTGTTTTTAAGCTACATCAAAATATTTATTTAAGCACAATATAAGCCTTAAACATAAATGATCATTTAAAAATATCATAGGAAATATTATTTGATAAAATTTTTTAATAAAACTACTAAAACTTTATTTAAATATACATATTCTGATATATGAATAGGAACATGCATTCTCGAACTAACACAACGGAATTTTAAAATTTTATAAATTTATTTACATTTAAAATTTTGAGGCATTTTCGACAGGAATTCAATTACTGGGTCATAAAGTCAGCTCAAGCAGACACGTTTATTGCTCGCTGGCAAAAGTAACAAAATGAACAGAAACAGAGAGCACAGAAAGGATATAAGAAATCCCACCCACAGCAATAGAGACGCATTAATTGTTGGCGGCACGCGACGCGTTTTATTAGACTGTTGCTCCTTTCGACTGGCAAACACTTTAAATTCAAATGGAGCACAACAACAATGGGGCAACGGCAACAAGTGAAAGCAGAAGCGAAGTGTAAGGAAAACAATAACAGTAAGCACTCCAAAGATGGACAAACATGACTGTACCCAAACTAAAAATGTTTGCTAAGGCAGCTGATAAGAATATTTTTGTAGCAAAATATTGTTTAAAATTCTTTCATTTAATTGTTCTAAGTGTAGTTTTTTGAAACGTAATCATTATATGTTCTCTCAAAGTTGAATTATTAAAACAATTGAAGTTCTATTTGCATTTTATCGATGACTTTTCAAGTTGGCTATAGCGCCATCTACTTATCAAATTCAAAATTTACAGATGTATAATAAAGTTATATGGTTCTAAGTGATCTTGATCAAGAATATGTAAGCTATGGATCTGCTCATCCCCTTCCGCCTGATAACCACATTTCAGCTTGTTGAAGCACTACCAAAGTTTTTATTTGTATTTCAATAAATGCATCTGTTCGTCAATGGCGATTTCACTGTACGTCCTTTCTACTGCTTCTACTGCTTGTGTTGCCCTAGAGTCTGTGCCGCTGGCATTGGCGCTTGGCATTGCTCGCCTAACCTTCGACATTCGCATTGAAACTGACGATGCCGCGCTTCAAATTCGGCTTCGGCACAGTGAGGCGCCGATTCACCCACTACAATCCCACTGCCGCCCATTCCACCCATTGACGAATGCCTGCCATTGGTCAAGGAGCTCGAGCCCGATGGCTGAATCATTCCGCAGCCGAGCAGCCTGGGCGGCTATATAAAAGAGCTCCAGAGCCTGTGCATCGAGTTCATTCGATAAACGCGACTTGCAAAGGACAAAACTTTCTTTTATTCTTCGATACAATTTGTGAAATTCAAGTTTAAATTCAATTTGTTAAGGGTGAATTAAATATTTCAATAATTAAAGCTTAAAGTTAAAGTGAACTTCAATTTATGTAAAATATACATTTAAATTAAATAGTTTTAATTTTTATACCCTGAACCTGAAAATGGGATATCATTATTATTGAATAACTTTAAATTGACTTATTTGTGTTCATAAATATGTTTATATATATATTTCGACTTAAAGTTCTCGCACTTTCATCTAAATTATTCGAATGAATTAGTTATGCCTCATTATCTTTTGCTAATGTGAAGTGAATTAATTTCTCATTTCCATGTCAAAGTGAATTGGTGGAAAAATACTTTGAGTTAAATTAATTTGAGAGCAGAATTAAGGATTTAAAATAGTGAATTTTTATAAAAGTTGAAATACTTTTCGGTGTAATATGAATTTAAAATTTGATGTGTGCGTTTAAATCAACATTTTCAATAACTGTAATACTTAAATGTGTGTAGAGGATTTTAATATTTATAATACCTGATCAATCTATACGGATTTTCATAAATGAAAGCTCAGATTTTATTTCATAAAATAAAACACAACAATGTTAATTTAGAGTCCCTTTCATATTGAATATACTTAAGTGTTTATAATTTCATGGGAACTAAGTTGTATTTGGAATATGAAATTTTAATTGTAATAGTTATTGTTGGACTTTTAGTTTGCTTATAGAAAAGCCTAAAAATAGTTGGTATTTGTTGTTGTTATAATACCAGGAAGCCAATCGGTTTTTGCGGTCTGAAACCAATTAAATGCAAAATCGTTCAATTGCGGTCTTGGGGCGAAACTATCAAGTCGAAGCAGGCGTGGCTAACCCTTGAAGTATATAGAATCTTAAATATTTATTGTATATCATACGCAATTCAAATTTACAGGGCAAAAGAAATTTTAGATTTTAGAGCTTGAATTGAGATTTATATAAATAGACTATTTATGTATTGAGCAAACATCAATTACAGATTCATATTAAATTCACAAATATAATATATATTTGTATATAATTATATTTTATTAATTTTTTAGTTTTTCTTTCAAATTCATAAATATTGGCATAATGATAAATAAGGAATGTAGCTGTCCAGGGTTTTATTTCCTAGTGGAGCACTTCCGACATTTTTTGTCAATTTTTAATTGAGTCTAAATTTAGTCTATTCTTATTTAGAGGCCTGTTTTACAACCTGTTGCTGGCTAATCGCACTTGTAATAGTATTATATTGATATTTCACATATACTCCTGAATTTAATTCAAACTCTCAAGTCATTCAGAGACAACATGTGGCTATTGATGCTAATTACGTGCTTGGGTCTGGTGCTGTTCGAGATCGGATTTGGTTTGCACTTGGCCGGCAAGCGGAGCGACATCGAGT